TATGTCACGATATCGTCTCAGATTTGTCGACAACGTCGCGGTTTACGTCAGGTTCAGCCCCCGCATCCAAATAAACGGAACAAACATATTGGTCCGAGGTTGGCGAGACCGCCAACATTTCATACCTCGTATCATGTTTAACATCATACCGAATTATAAAGCATTCCTTTGACCAAGATACGTGAACAACTTCGATCGTATACTATAGAGTCTAAGCACGTATTGATTTTCAAAGGTCGTGACATCTTTTGCAGTACAATCTCGTCGTTAGGTCATCACGATGGGGAGGCTGCCGCGCCTTCGATTTCCGAAGTCCATTCGACCCAAGTCGGGATGGAGTCGTTCGTAGCTGTTGGCTATCCGCCGCCGCAGCCGTTGGTCGAGGGCTTCGTCGATGGGTACTTAGATTACCAAGCCATGTCCACTTTGGAACAGATGGTTGGGTGCGATGGAGGGAGTAATCGGTCAAGGGGTGATAATTTTGCCAAGTTTACTCATTTCTACATTGCGCTGTTGTGCCTCGAAGATGGCATTAAGCGCAAGTAGGCTTGGCATCACATACGCCGTCGTGTCGTTCGTTATCTACGGCCTGTACCCGCTCTTCTTCAAGCAAATCCAAACCGTGCCGAGTGTACAAGTCGTGCTGCATCGGATCGTGTGGTCGTATGTCCTCCTGGTTCCGCTCTTCTTTTGGCGAGGCGACTGGGCTAAATTCAAGGCGACGGCGCTGACCAAGCCCAAGGTCCTGGCGATTTACTTGACCGCGGCGATCGCGATGGGCGGCGCGTGGATGCTCTTCCTGTGGGGTGTCTTGGCCGGCTACATCATCGAAACGTCCCTCGGTTTCTTTATCAACCCGATCTTCAACGCGTTGTTAGCTGTCGTCGTGCTCAAGGAGCCACTCCGGCGATACCAATTCCTGTCGGTTTTGTTGGCGCTGGCCGGCGTGCTGGTCGTCGCGATCGCATACGGCCAGTTTCCGTGGCTAGCGTTGTCGCTAGCTTTCATCCTGACCATCTATTCCTTTATCAAGAAAACGGCACCGTTGAGCTCGATCGACGGTGTCACGCTCGAAATGTCGTTCCTGTTTGTGCCGTCGCTTGTTGCGCTCGTCGTATTCGACGCTCAGGGCACGGGCGCGTTCCTTCGGCTCGGCTCGCCCTCGACCGACATCCTGCTCTTCCTCTGCGGCGTTGTGACGGTCGTGCCACTGTTGCTGTTCGCGTCCGCCGCCCCACTCATGTCGTTTACGCTACTCGGAATCGTGCAGTACATCGGCCCCATCATGAACTTCCTCATAGGCGTGTTTGTCTACAAAGAGCCGTTCTCGACGTCGAAACTTGTGGGGTTCATCCTGATTTGGCTCGCCCTGACCGCCTTTGCAGTCGAGGGCGTCGTCATGGCCCGAGTCCTGCGGCACGCCGCGTCCGACGCCCCCACGAACGACTCGAGTCAATCTGGGGACATGGACTTGGATGATGTGTCCATCAACCAAAGTATTGCCGCGACGCCCAAGTCGAACGCAGTTTACACAAGCGTAGACAACGCGGTCGCCAACAAGGCGTAGTGGTGATGCAGAGCCACGACCAACTGCCTGCCGGTCAAGACAATTCCTCCTCGGCGTTGACTCGCCTGCCACCAACACACCGTTCGTTCAAAACACCGCCTGATCGTCCCCCTGCCAAGCTACACGTCACCAGGACAATGATCGCCCGTCATGACGACGCCCATGGTCTCCACAATGAGTGTGTATTATGCATCCGAACAACGTCAGTTTACGACCAAACATTGACAGCCCCTCTCCCCACCACCACTGACTTGCAAGCCCCATTTCGGATGAGAAATTGTACGTTGTACAGTCCGTAGGCAGGATTGGCGCTCTTGTTCTTCTCTGAAGAGAAACACATCATAGAATTCGATTTAACATTTGACGCACAGATTGCAATATTTGATGAGCGGGTCGCCCACCTTTCCACGATGTTGTAAACTCTGACAAACTCTGACTCGTTGGAACTGATGTCCCTCTATCGTTGCGATTGACGCTCTCCTGCGCTGCGAGACCGCAAAAGGCACCACACGAAGTGAGCCAGTGGAAACAGGCACGGAATTCAGCAAATCCATGCATGGCAGAAGGGACGAGCGAGACAAAGCAAACACCGAGACAACTCTAGCGTCTACCCACCAAGTAATTTGAGACGTGCATTCAAGTCTACGAGCTACTCGTTCTCGCGAATTGTTCCAACTCCCCCAGGGCCAAAGCTTTCGTGCGTGGACGACCGACCGTTGGGTCCCGTTCTCTAATGCAGTCGTTCGTTTACGGGTGATTCCCATGCACACCATGCTATCCACCCGTCGCCGTACTCGGGATTCTGCCCTACCGCGCATGATTCGAGCAGCATTGTATTGAAGTCGTGGTGCATGGGGAGTTGTAGAGGTCTGCAATGGCGGATCGATATAGGCCTAGGGACGACATCGCGGGTTGTTGAGTTGGCAATCATGCGCTAAAGTCGGTAAAGTCAAAGTGTTGCATGTCGAGCGTTAGATCGCTGTCGGCCGTCGTCACAACGCCAGGTCGGGCGAAGCTCGATGCGTCCGTGATCTGCGTTGAGTTGCTAGCTCGCCAATGCGCGGGGTTTGAATCTGGCCTTTGTAGCGTTGTCGCGTCGACTCGGGTCAAATTATTGTTGATCGCACGATGAGCCAGCTTTGGTCAGTGCATTTTGCACGTTTCAGTGTCATGGAGACTTTTCGGACAGCTCGAGATTCGTGTTGCACTTTTGCCACACTACAACCCTCTCATTTGGGACGTCGGGCGAGTTCAAACGCGCCAAGCAATTGCCGGCACTTCAGTCGTCCAAGTCAAATGTTTGACATGCGCTGTTTCGCACTGTGTCCGACGATCGCCATTGTCTCGTGTTTCAACGAGATTGCAATATTTCGATTGCCTCTTGCGACATGCTCGTCAGAAAAACAAGAGTTCCAGGTCTGCCTACGCAGGCGTATTTTCTCCCCGTCAGGAGCGACCAGGAGTTCAGCGCAACCATTACGTCTACTGCAACCTTCGCGGGGAGGCAAGTGGGCGATATATATGTACGCGTCCTGATGCGGTGGACACGACCGCCTTTCGATGCGGCAGTGGCTCGGCACTCGGAGATGATGCTGCGGATGAGTTGACGCTTTCTGCGCCATCTTGCCACGTGGGACGACCTTCATTCGGGTCAGGTGGGGCAACGTTGGAATGATGATGCTTGGCGGGTCGAACGCATACATCGAGCCTTTGCTTGGATTGATGTGAAATACACGCTGGCAATCCGCCACGTCACAAGAACGTTGACGGGCGGACCGATGGGGCATCTGCTGCTGTGTGAACCTCTGCCCGAGTGGTTCGTCTGTCGTAGCTCGGACGTCCCATCGCAGGCTGGCGCCTTCCTCCAAAGTCGCAGCATCGGCAGAGGTGCCTCATGCTTCGATCGCTACTTCTTGTGTTGCCAGAAGTCAGGCGAACAAGTGCGCGACACGTGCATTTGCGCATCCTGTGCTTGATTACCAATCCGCACCCAAGAAACAGGAGTCGCGCTACCAAGCGAAGGCATGCGACGGCGGCGCATCCTGCAATCGTTGTGAATAACGTGGGACGTCTCGATCGATGTCTTTACATTCTTGGAACTCCCATCCGCCCCACACTTCACTGCCATGACCAGCTTCACGATTGGCGTGTTGTACGCGACCATTGCATTCACTACCTTTGGCCTCTACCCCCTGTATTTCAAACAGCTCGACGGGACGCCCTACCTCCAGGTCACGACCTGGCGTGTTGTGTGGTCATTTCCCATCGCCGTCGCGCTCTTTGTATGGAAAAGCGACTGGAAAGCCTTTGTCCAGACAGCGCTGACGCGAGCGTCCCTGCAGCATCACACGATCTCGGCCGTCTTGTTGGGGGGACTGTGGCTTCTGTACCTGTACGGTGTGGAGGCCAACTACATCGTCGAGATCAGCCTCGGGTTCTTTATCAACCCCGTCCTGAGTGTCATCCTCGCCGTCGTCGTTCTCAAGGAGCCTCTCCGCCGGGTGCAACAACTTGCGGTCGCCATTGCAATCGGGGGTGTCATTGTCGTGGCCATTGGTTATGGAAAGTTTCCGTGGCTCGGCCTTAGTATTGGCGCGTGTCTCGCGCTGTACGGCCTCATGAAAAAGACGTCCCCCCTCGGGCCCATCGACAGCATCTTCCTTGAAGTCACCATCCTCCTGCTGCCGTCTGCCGCGGCTCTCGTGGCGATGAAAGCGAATGGCACAATGGTATTTATGCACTCGTCAGCTATGGTCGACTGGTTCCTGGTCGGGTCCGGTGTCGTGACCGTCCTCCCCCTTTTGCTGTATGCGTCCGCCGCTCAAAAAATCTCGTTCACGCTCATTGGGCTGCTCCAGTACATTGGCCCCATGCTCACGTTTCTATTTGGGGTCTTTATCTTCCATGAGGAGTTTTCGACTGCGAGATTGATCGGGTTCATCTTTGTCTGGGTCGCGCTCGCGATGTTCGCCGTGGAGGGGATCGTGAACTCGCGCATCAAAGCAAGGAAGACTTCGATCGTCACACTAGCGAGCACCGACACAGGCGTTGACATGGACGTCACCATCACTGTCGGTGCCGCCGGCTCCGAGGGCGACTCGACGGCCCCTGTCCATGATGGCTTTAACGAGATCATCGACAGCGACCACCATATCGTGTGCAACATCGCCGACAAGCCGCATCCTAACTCATAATATTAGACAATTCTTCTACACGTGGAGGAAAAACAGCCTCGGATGCATTGCTACACGCTAATTTCGACGCATGTATCGTTCAATGGTCCAGAGCAGTCAAAACAGGCTATTGCCAACTCTGGCGCATATTGAATCTGTGGCCTCGGGGCTGATGGACAAATCTCCGAAGTGTCCCTGGCTTCCTTCGTCATGATGCCCCGGGCCTGGAAGTGGATGGGTGGCAATCCCTACCTTGACCATCGCTCCGTTCGTCGTTGGTGGGTTTCAACGTGCAGGCATCGATTCTCACGTGGCTGGTCGAAAGACCACTGTGGATTCGACCGACGTGGGGGAATGCGCACGATTCCCCAGACAGCCTCGAAACGTGTGTCTGTGAATGGTTCCTTTCACTCAAAAAATAGACGATCATGATGGTTGCACTCCTTCTCACGCCCAAAGGCTGCCACAATCGTTTTGCTCGTTGTGAACCAACCGTCTCCTGTGGCATCCATCACATTGCCATTCAATTATCGAGATGACCCGACGCAAACCAGTGCTTGCTTAGTCTTGCAAAGCACGCCGCTGCGACTCCCTCCCCCGGTGAGAGCGTCCTCGACTTGACCAGATGTACACTACGCGTTGCCAGTACGAAAGTCCTCGAGTTCTTGCACCATTCCACTTGACAAGTACTCGTCGATCTTGGCTGCACTGGGCTTACCAATACCCTTCATGGCCATGGCTTGTTGCCCGCTTGTAATTTCTTCATCGCATGCACGGATTATCTTGGCAATGTGCATGTGCGCTGTTCCCTTTTGGCTGTCCCCGCGCTTGTATTCGAACCCGGCCAACTCGGTGAAGAGTTTGGCGAGGGGCTGGTTTTTCGGGACAGTGGCAGGGAGGTTCTCGCGCTTCTTTTGGCCCGTTGACCTGCCATCCTTGTCGACGTTGACGTCGTCGTTGGGCTGGCCATTCCCTTGGTCTGGTGGTGTCGGTGTGTCATAGCTCACCGCATGCTTCTCATCGCTTTCGTGACCCTCACGAACCTTGTGGTTCGAGCGACTGTTCCTGAGTTTCTTGTGTCGCTTGGGCTCTGGCTTGACCACCCCAAATTTCTTTCTCATTGCAGTCAAGGCGTCCTGCAAGTGGTATTCGCCCTCGCGGTAGGTCGCATTCAATGCATTGCCTGCCTGGATGACGCAGGTCGTGGTGTCGGTCGGGACGTCGACCCCTTCAGCCTTGCACAACTCGAGGAGGTGGGTCACTGCTGCCTGCGCCACTACCTGGTTGTACATGTGTCGTTTTAAAGTCCAACGTATCTCATCAGCATGCCTGTACAAAAGCAAGTCGCATCGTCCCAACACCCAACGGACTGTTCACTTGCCCACTTGCTTGCAGCTATGGCCCAACTGCTGCTCCATGCTTGTACGGGAGCTGGGACGATGCATCACCAAAGGGTTTCGGATTCGCACCCAACGGCCCAAAGAAATCCCAACGCTCTCATGAGCAATTCAGAGCAGCGGGGGGGGGCAGGGTGTTCAAAAGTCAAATTGCTGCCATGAGCCACAAACCCGCGGTCAACTCGACAAATGAAAAACTAGCGCTTGCGTTCGACGACTTGGCGCACTACGAGTTCGAACACGGCGGGCAAAACACTCCCGTGGGTGCGTCATACTCGAAGATTGCAAGAGCAATTCGCGACGCGACGGACGAAATTACGAGCGGCGAGGACGCCATGCAGTACCGCGATATTGGCCCCAAGACAGCCGCCATGATTGACGAATACTTTGCAAGAGGAGAGATTGCCAAGCCCCCAACCAAAGACGCAACGTCGCTTGGGGGGTCGCCCAGGGGCGGCAAGGTGGGGCACCAGCGCAGACGCAGCAAGAGCCGCAGTGACAGTGACGACGACGAATCGAAGCGCCACAAGGAGCGTATCGGCGAAAAGGCAAAGAACGCGATGAATCAAGGGATGGCCAACGCATTTGAAGATTTGGCGGAGTTCGAGTTTAACCGGGGGCACATAAGCGCGGGGGCGTCGTGCTCGAAAGTTGCTCGATCCATTCGCGACGCCAACGCGGAAATCACAAGTGGGTTGGACGCAATGGAACACGTGCGAGGCATTGGGAAGAAGAGCGCTGTCATGATTGACGAGTACTTGAAGACGGGCAGGATCGCGCCGAGTGACACTGCAAAATACGTCGGAGAGGGATCTGGTACTTAGAGAACGACAGTTTGAATCGGTGTTGGCCAGTGCTGTAACTTGCTAAGGCGTTCATGAATGAGGAGGGATGGTCGGATGTTTATGTCGTGCCCGAACAAGACCGGCATGGCATGCAACTGTCCTGGGGGCTCTTACGCTTCTAGGTGATGGCATGCAAGGAAACAAGCATTCGCATGCAGAGAGCCTCCCCAGTCTGCTGCGATCGCCCGTCATCTGCACTACGCCATCAAATTCCTCCCGATGATTTGGTCTGCGAGACAAGGCTCGCCGCCATCCGGTCATAACGGTTGCACGAACAGCAACTCCAACGAGTTAACGACGTGATGCGAGACCCGCCGCGAAGCCCCCGTCTTCAGAATCAAACTTGCTAGCTCTCAGCCATGAGCAACAAAGAAGCGAGGAACCCGAAAAATGAACAGCTCGCCCAAGCGTTTGAGGACATTGCCAGCTACGAATTCAAGCATGGCGGTCTCAACACGGGAGCTGGGGCGTCGTACTCGAAGATTGCCCAGGCCATCCGTGAAGTTGACGAAGAAATCACGAGCGGTGAGATGGCCATGCAGTACCGGGACATCGGCGCGAAGAGTGCCTCCATGATCGACGAGTACCTCGAGAAGGGCAAGATTTCCAAACCGGCGACCAAGCACGTGCCGGGCCAAGATGACAGGGACGATGATGAAGGGAATGAGCCCAAGCACCACCACCATTCAGGACACCACTCGAAGCACAAGGGGCATGGCGACGAGGGTTCGCACCACAAGTCATCGCATCACGCGAAAGCTAAGAATTACAAGAACCAAGCGCTAGCGGATGCTTTCGAAGACTTGGCCCACTACGACCGCAAGATTGGTGACTCGAACGCTGGGATGTCTTACTCAAAGGTCGCCGAGGCGATTCGGGACGCGGACATAGAGGTTGAGAGTGGGGATCACGCCATGAAGCATATCCCAGGTGTTGGGAAGAAGAGCGCGGCTGCAATCAACGAGTTTTTGGCGACAGGCAAGATTGAAATGAACGCCCCCAACAAGGAACCGGATCAAGAGGAAGAGGGCCAAGGCGATGATGAGCGACAGGATGTGGATGATACGTCGCGCTACAAGGGCCACAAGCACATGCATGCAACAAACCCGAAGAACCAAGACTTGGTCGATGCATTTGAAGAGTACGCCGACCGCGAATTCGAGCGCAACACTGGCAAGGGTGCCGAGTACACGAAGATTGCGCAAGCCATTCGGTCTGCGGACGAGGAGATAACCAGTGGGCAGGAGGCCAAGGAGGATGTGTTCAACATTGGCGACAAGAGCGCCGAAAAGATCGACCAGTTCATGGACACGGGCAAAATCAAGTAGCCAGGACAGAACTAGGCGACGTTTGAATTTACAAGTGCATTTACAACGTAATGAACACGAAGATGCGTGGTTACGGAACGTGTGTGTGTTACTTCGGTCGCTGCCTCGCAAACGGATCATGACCAAGGACACGTAGTTTGCATTGGAAGACTGACTGGCTCAGGTGCATGGGGTTCGACTGCACTTGCAACTTGCTCGCCGGTAGACCTTGGCCACCTTCTAGACATCAAGAGTGTTTTCGTTGATGACGCCGATGGAGCTGTGGATCAAGACAAAGCAGGAGGTCTCGCACGGAGCAGCTATAACACGCTCATGTGCATTGCCGCTGCATGCACTAGCTTCCAGCCCACCCACACGCACATGGATGGTGAGCACATCGACGATACTCGCTCGTTGGGCGCAGCCGACGTCCCAGCTCCTGGCCCACCTTCGATCCAGCCAAGTCGGCGGGCTTCATTGGGCGGTTCATTATCCGGATGGTACGGATAGTGTTCAACAGGAGCGGCAAACGGTGGCGCGAGGAACCGGCACAACATGGACTTCTCCGTGTCCTTCCTCGAGAATCTGTACGAAAGTGAATCCGTTGGGAATGATGCGGCGGTAGAATCAGTAATAGTGTCGATTCCATCCAAGTCTGCACACCCTTCGCCGCGAAAGGCATCTCCATCTGTGGTGGACCGAGCGTCAATTCCATGCCGCACTTCGTTGGGTATGACACCTTCTCCAATGAAGCGCAAGAGGACACCGTCGATGACCAATAGCCCATCTTCAGCTGTGGAACTGACTGACGAAGGAAGTGAGTCCTCCTTCACACGCCGTCGACGCTCTCCAAGGAAACACGCAACCTCACCGGTGAAACACTTCGCCGTGGGGGCAACGCCACCGAGTCGTCATTCCCCACATTCGAACGTCACATGTGCCAAAGCTGGGCCGCTTGATCTGTCGTCTATTGCCGAACAACCCCATCCACCTACTCCACCGGAAACTCGTGACGAGGATTCCACCGCAACTTTGCTGTCACTTGCCTCGCCGACCCATGCAACCAACAGTTCCAACACGACCATTGCGACTCCATTATTCCTGGCAGCGACTGCACCTTCTTCTGACCATCCTAAGTCTCCGACGTTGACTTCCACGGCACCATCATCTCCAGCTGCCACGGACGCAGCCGCGCCACTCTCGACAGACGTAAGGCAACTCGTCATCTCACCTGCTTGATTGACAGATCTCCTGGATATGGTAGCCCTCAATGGACCAAATTTTCATGACGGGACAGCAAGTGCACTGCGTGCGGCATGTCGTGCTTTCCCAGCGGCGGTACGCATCGGGATGGACTGGGCACGACGGAGCCATTGACGATGTCCGCCGCGTGTTGGAAAGAACGATCTCGTTCGGGGAAAGCCAAAGTGCGATGGTCGTCGGGTCCGCTGGTAGTGGCAAGCGAGCGATTGTTGCACGCGCTGTCGCCCAGTTGAAGGCAGCCAGCCCACGAGTCTTCTTTCCCGTGTACTTGAGTGGAAGTGCGCTCGCCAACGACATGGAAGGGTTTCGCGAGATTGTTCAGCAACTCGTCCCGGAAGGTGGCGTTGCCGGCCACAAGGTAGGCCGTGGGGTGACCGCGTGGCGACGTCTTTGGCAAATCAACGGGCTGTCAGCAGGGTGGCTGGCGCTCTCCATGCCAATACCTTGGCATCCAGGGCTCTGCGAGGTCGACTTCTTGACCGATCGCTCACTGCGGTGTCCCGTAGGCGGCCTCCTTTTTCAACGTGTATGACTTTCTCAAGCAGTTGCTGCTGGAGAAGGCGCTGGCAGGCCACGCCGTCATTTTCGTCCTGGATGCGTTCGACACGTTCGTCGGCGGCGCCAAGCAACTTCTCGTGTACAATCTCCTCGACTGGATGCAAGTGCGTGCTGCCCACGACGCCATCGTCGCTTCACCAACTGTGATCTGTAGTCGAAAGACGTCTGCATTGGCCTTGTCGGCATTTCGTGCAACTTTAACGTTCTCGCGCACTTTGAGAAACGGGTCAAGTCACGCTTCTCAAATATTCAGATCGCTGTGCCCCGGCCGCCGCTGAAAGCAATCTTGCAGGTGCTTGCATGGTTGTGGTCCGCGTGAGAGTGCGTATTCAGCTCATCGAGTGTTTGCTGGATAGCTTCTGTGGTCGTCGTTCCAGTTCCGTCGGCCGGCAGCAACAATTGCATGCGATCCGACGAACGCACCGCGCCCAATTCATGCTACTGGACACTCGGTGGCGTGGCCCGCGCATGTGCCGCAGCCCTCCGACGACTTTTACGACCTGTGGGAAGCTTCGTTGTATCGCGTACTGTTTGGAGCGGACCTGCACTCGACGTGGTGGTGGCAGCACCTGTACGACCTCGGCAAACCCGTCGACGTGTTTGTCCGCCTTCTACAAGTCGCCTTGACACAGCTCACGCCGTCCAAACCGTTGCTCGACAACGCGCACGTACAGGCCGCGTGGGATGTGCTCTTTCCAGACCACGTCCTCCATGCTTTGCGAGGTGATGACTCAGTCTTGTGGTGGCATGTGGCTCAAAAGATGGGCTGTAGGCTTGACCACGCGCGAGATGACGCTGGTGCTCGGCATGATTGGGCTCGAACGGCAGGGCAAGTCGCAGTACTCGTTTGAGATGGTATTTCACGACTGCAGCGCCTTCTACCGCCAACACGCGATGAAGAGCCCGCCCCGCGTCGAGTTGCTCCATGCACTGGCCAACCTGCTTGCTCTCCACGTCGTCCATGAGGTGACGCACCAGCCGCAGCCAGAGTACTCGATGGTGCGACTCGCCGTGCGGCCGACGGAAGTGTTGGACGCAATTCGAAAGAAGAGTGTCGCATGCACGGCCTTGGTCGAGCAGTGGGCAATGACCACACTGGTGTAAAAATGTACACCCACCCAAGGTCGCGATCCCTTTGGACCACCATGTCGTTGACCGCGAAGTCAGACATGTCTCTCGCCAACGCACGTCACGATGACGTAACGAAATACCCCATTCACGCAATTACATGTTGCCTGCCCGGTACTCTTCGAGCTTTTCGATTTTGCCTGTTTCAAGGAATTCGTCGATCTTGGTCGCGCTGGCTTTGCCGACGCCCTTGAGCTTCATCGCTTGTTTCCCTGACGTGAGGGCGTCTTCTGCATCACGGATTGCTTTCGCGACCTTCGAGTACGACCCGCCTTTGAACCGATCGCCTTTCTTAAATTCAAACCCTGCCAGGTCCGAAAACGCCTCAGCCAACGCTTGGTTCTTAGTGTTCGTGGCTTGCGCGACGCTTTTCTTCTTCTTGGCGACAGGGGAAGCTTCGCCACCGTCACTGGCATCTTGTGCTTCATCCTTGACACTTTCGTCGCTCCCCTTAGTGGATTTCTTCCCACCTGATGCTTTTCGCTTCTTCGTCTCGGGCTCTGGCTTGGTGGCGCCAAATTTTTCAACCATTGCAGCTAACGCCGCCGTCAGGTTGTACTCACCATCCGCACGAGTGGCATTCAGCATCGTGCCAGCCTGGATCATAGCGTTCATAGCGTCTGTGGGCAAGTGCACTCCATCCTTCTTGCACAGCTCCAGAAGTTCCTGCGCTGCTTTCTTCGCTGCCGCCTTGTTGCTCATGGTTGATCGATTTGGTCAGGTCGATTGTGTCCGGAAAAGGTTTCCCCGCCAAATGGTCCCTCTATCTTTTCATATGTATATCCGGCTACCCCTCTTCACTGTCAATGGATAAAAGCACATCCGGATATCACAACGTCGATGCTGAACCTCTATAAACTGTTGGTTTCGTGTCGTGTGTAGATGTTTCGAAGCAACCTGCAGGCAATCCCCACGATATCCCTGCACGCTGATTGTTCCGGCGCAACATAAAAATCCCAGTTACCAGGTCTTCCGCTTGCCATAATGGAATAGGTAAACCTGGGCCACTTCGTGAGAAATAAAGTGTTTGAAGCAAAACGTCATCAAGAACCTCTTTCATTCGATATTGATTCGATATCCGCAACGGGGAAGATTCGACCATTTATCCGGATTCGGATAAATATCGAAACGCGCGGTGGACGTTCTCTGGGATTTCGAGGCATTTTGAAATTCTCCGTGCCGCCGCCTCGTGTTCGTCCGACTCGACCAGCATGGGAATGGCTCGCAACAATACGACGAAGGACGACACTCAAGTTGCGAAGAAGAAGGATGGTGCGAAGAATAGCAAGCAGAATGCCAAGCACGAGGCCGTCGTCGACTTTGCCTCGATTGACCACCCGTACGTCGTTGTGTTGAACAAGAAACTCCGATCGTTCAAGAAGAAGCAGGAAAAGATCAAAGCGCTTGAAGATTCATTGCGAGGACAAACGAAGCAATTGAACGAGCAGCAATTGGAGGTCTTGTCCAATAAGGGATTTGTCGACAAGATGGTCGTGGAACTGGAAACGTTGCGCCAGCAATTTGTCGACACTGTCCTCGCGAACACGCCATCAACTGAGGCGAAGACCGTCGAAGAGACGAAGGAAATTTTGCCGTCAGAAGACGGAGACGTGTCTTCGTTGAACCACTTGAATGAAGATGTGTCCGACGGCGGCAAAGATCCTGTGGACGATTTGGAGGACGAAGACAAGGCTGCCTCCGTGAACTCTGTTACGTTTGCCTCAAATGCTGCCTCGAATTCGATTGACCTCGACGAGGAAAAGCTGGAATTTGTCCATTCTATCCTGAAACTGCTGCATGCCGTTAGCTTGCACCAAGCACTCGGTCATGATGTTCCCATGGCGCTTGACTACTTTGTCAAGGTTCTCGTGGGTGTCACTCGTCCCCCAGCGGAAGTGTCATTCCCCGAAAACTTGGCCGAATCCCTTGAAGAAGCTAAGCGATACGTCTTGAAAAGTGACAAGATTTTGGCATGCGATATGTCGTACCGACAACTGTCAGAAGCGGTAGACCACTTGGTTGCGCCCCGACCTCCTGTTCAGAAAGAGGTTCTTGAGGTCGTTCCTCAAATCAACTTCTTCACGGAGTCCGAGCTCGACAAGGACACCACTTTGGCCAGAACGTCGGTTGATGCGACACATCGACGTGGCGACGACGAATCGTTTGTGGTGGTGGACGTCGTCGACAAACCCGCACCGGTGCCTCATTCAAGCAAGCCACGACCATACTCTGGCAACCGCCGCAACAAAAACTCTCCTCGTGAAGGTCCCGGCGACCACGACAAAGAACGAAAGCCACGCAAGGTATACCAACCACGAAACAAAGGACCTATCGGCGAGCAACCGAATGAGCAGAACAGTGGGAACTCACGCAACGCCGCGCCTCCACGTGCCAACCCTAAAGCGGCTGGCAACGACGGCGAAAAGCAACAGCGACCTACGACTTCGCGTCGGTCGAACAAGCAAGGCGGGGACCGACCGCGACCCAAGAAAGTCGAGCAGGATGTGTCGCCCTGAGTGGACTAGCATGATTAGGCCTAGCGAGCGGGCGGCAGTAAATAGACCATGTCGTTGCGCTCGATGTTTAGTTGCTGGGGATAATAATGGCAACTTGTGGAGTGCTTCTCAAGAATATTATTTTCCAGAGTATTCGACCCACAAAGAAATATGATGAACTGCATAACTGCATACTGAGCAACGAACCATACGTTGCACTGGACAATCTGCATTCTGACACTGATTTTCGTTTAAATTTTTTGTGTTTTTGGGCAAATGCCTTCGTTTTTGAGTAGAAAATTCGAATATTTTGAGAAAATATGAATTTTGGTACCGACGAGAAACCCCCGCTGTGGTGAAAGACTGCTGCGAGGTCGGTGCGAACATGGTCAAGGTCTTCGTGGGCGTCACCTGCTGTCTGATGGCGCTTAAGATCATGAGCATGATCCTGTATGTTCATGTGTCGTTCACGTATGCAGCCATCTACGTGGTGCTCACCGCACTCATGCTCGTGAGCTACGCGGGCACGGTGTTCGTCTCACCGTCGTTTCCAGTCTCAATCCTTGACGACGACAACGATGCAACAGCATCCGACGCAGAGAACGGCGAGAAAAATGCAAGGTATTGTGAGAAATGCGACCGCGTCAAGCCCGACGGGTTCCACCACTGCTCCGTGTGCGGTCGATGCATCTCGCACATGGACCACCATTGTCCATGGACCGGCAACTGCGTCGGTCTCCGCACGAAGAAGCTCTTTGTGCTTTTCCTCTTTTACACTTCCGTTGCGTGCCTCTGGTTTGCCTACTGCGCACTCCGCGTTCCTCCCACGAGGTCGGTGCTGAGCGTCACCGTCGGCTTGGCTATCGTAGTGGGGTGCCTCCTCTTTGGCTACTTTTGCTTCCATTTGTATCTTCTTCGCCAGGGCCGCACAACCCTCGACTTTATGGCGCGGCGGCGAGGCAATACTGTGGGTTTCCGCAGCAACCTCCTCTTGTACTTTGGTCCGAATTGGTGGGCCTATGCCTTGCCAGTCGTCCCCATGTACCTCTGGCACCCCTCAACTGTAGATGCCTCAACACCATTAAAGTAGACCTGTTCGACTCGTGCGATATTTTGCAACACGAACCGAGATTTGACAGGTCATGCCACGTGGTCACCGATCTGCGTCGTCTTGAAAAGACTTCCTCGCGTCCCAAGGACGTAGATTTACAGTGGTATCCTCGATCCCCAACACATGCGACTCGGGTGTCCTGCATTCATCGACGTTCGAGCGAGATGCGCCTGCTGTATCCAAGCACTCGAAGTTGCCCTGCGCAACACTCCCATAACTCGACGAATGGTCCGTTGCGATGGCGACGAGCTCAGCTCATTCGTTTCAATGCCGGCGCACTGCCCCACGCAGGTCAACGTGTGGCAGCAACTAGGTCGGTGGGAGCCTGTGATGCGAACTACGCACAACTGAATCGCCGCCAGGTAGTCGACAGTAAAACGTCCTCAGTTCGCCGCGATACTACTGCATGACGGCACGGCATTGGACATCGCTCGTTTGCTCACACCACACAAATCTGCAATCCAGATGCCTGTCAAGCATCATCCACGTGCACATACCATGGCCGGACACATCAAGCCCCCATCGTCATGCCGTCGCGTCACGACATAGGTCGTCGTCGTGTTTTAACTTACTTGTCCTTGGCTTTCTTGTCCTTCTTCTTCTTCTTTTCCTTCTTCAGCTTCTTGCGGGACGCGGCGAGATCGTCCATGATGGGGCGGTACACGTCTCGGAGCTTGTCGTCGAATGCCCTTTGAAACTCGATCGCCATTTCATGGACTGGGTCGCCTTCGCGGTTAAATCGCTTGGCGTTGGCCACGAGCAGCGCAATATCGGCTTCAACTTGCTCGAGCTTCAAATATGCTTGTTTTTGCACCTAAAACAAGTAGCGAGTGGTTCACGGGTCTTATCTGAGGAGTGTCGGCAGATCGATGGGCGTAGAAGTACCTTTTCGCCAATGCGAGTGAGGTCCATGGGCTCCTGGACGTAGTCAAAGTAGTTGGGGACCCCAAGAGCCTTGCAGTTTTCTTTCGTAATCTTGACGATGAACGGATTGCTTGGTTTGCCTTTGGCGTCGGGCCAAGCTGAGAAGGGCTGGATGAGGACAATGGCACCGAGGCAGGGATAAGTACCTTTCCATGTGAGGGCCTTCAGGTCGTGAACCAATGGGTCGAGGATAGTTTTGAGGCTTTCGGCTTCTTCTTTTTCGCGCTTACGCTTCTTTTCCCTTTTCTTTTCCTCTTTCTTGAGCTTCTCCTGCGCGGTCATCGCTGCTGTCGCCGCAGCCTTGGCGTCCACAGGAACCGACGCGGTGGTCTTGGCGGGGGGCGGCTGGACAAATCCTGGACGTGCAGACTTGCTCGTCTTGTGGAATGTTGTGGCGCTGCTCAACGGCGCCGTTGTCGGGAACTGAAAGCCGGCTTGCACCATCTGGTCTGGAAGGGGCTCGATGGGCCGACCGAAAGCGCGCTCGTCCAGCACCGTCAGCAATGATAAATTCGTGCCGTATTCATTGGTCAAATCGGCGTGGGAGTTGCTCAGACCAAGCCCTTTGAGCAAGTGCTTGCAGCCCGTGGGTAGTTCCGCCGCACTCATCGCTTTCAGTGAAGCATCCAAACGGAAATGCGACATCATGTCCTTGCGGCTCACGGCCGACGATCCGATCCATTCCCTCCCTCGCGCTAGGTACACATTCGACGCATCTTTATCGAAGCCGAGATCCACCAAGACGCGGTCGTCCGCAGCGATGGTTGCATCGGCCATCGAATGGAAAGTAACGAAACACTGTTTGTGGGGATGTTACAATATCAAACAAGATTGGTCAAAATTTAAAAGATGGACGAGAGTAAGGAATGCGGATTGGTGGTAACTTCAAGATTATGGCCAATCAAGTGGTGTATTTACCTTTGTGCCTGAATTTGCAATTGCATCAAGTCCTCGCGGCGGCCGCGATGTCATGGCGGCAATGACAACGATCATGGAAAGGAGCGAGAGTCATTCAGCTCAACCAATTACATTTGCAACATTACTCCTACTTCTGTACAACGCCCACGGAGCAGCTTTCTCCTTGACCCGCTGAAGTCAGTGGGCCATCGACTTGGCGGGTTTGGCGTCGGCGCAGCTACGTTCATGCATGAAATGCTTATCAGCGGCAATTTCTCATCACCTAAACGCTTAAAGGAGTTATTCCATATCGTACCACGACTTGTTTTGGCGTCGCGTCTTTCTCCCGGCTGTAGTGAGGGAGGAATTCGTGGCACTCGACTGGAAGCACATCGTTTCCGCCACCAATGCCCCCCTTGCCTGCATAGTATTGTTGGATATGCTCCTTACACTTTATGGCGGTGGCGTGGAGCTGCTTGATTTCATCGTCCTCGCGCGAGATGCGGCGGATCATGAAGGTGGTCGTCGACATGGGCGTCTTGTGCGTCGTGTGTGAGTTGTGGAATGGGTCGTTCGACAACTTTTTTCAATCTACTTGGGTTTTGTATGGAGATACAAAAAGCAAGTAGCTCTAAGAGTAGCAACACAAAATAGCTTCAACTTAAATCGGACCAATCACGGCCACGAGATATCTCCCAGTTGGGGTTAAGCGCCACTACTGTAGCCGAACAAGATCGCGACGGTGCCGTCGCGATCTTGTTCGGCATTGGTGAAGAGAACGAGGAGGGCGTAGGTTGACACAGAGGCGAAGGATGAAGATATCCTCGGCGAGCGCACCACGTTGTGCCCACATCGCTTGGAAGTTGAGAGTTTCAACAGCGCGTACACGAAGCCAAGCGCAGCTCCTAGGCGGAGGAGAAAGTGCCAACGACGACGAGATAGGTTGTCGTTGAGCGCGGTTAAGATGCAATCGCTATGATTGACGGAACTCGCAGTGTCCAAAAAGATCCCGATATGTTTCACGACATGTAGGCTGACGTCGAGTATGAAAGACTTGCCGATCACCTCCCGCTTCGGCCTTCTCGACGATTTCATGAAATCGGACACCATTCCGCACTCCCAAGAGTGGTCGTTGCGACTTAGTCGGGGCAGTGCCCCAGGACTACCCCCCCATTTGGCCAGCGTGACGTACTCGAGCTTTGTCTTTACATGAGCCGTCACTGCTGCTTCGACAACTCTCTCAAACATACCTTTCGTGGTACCTGTACATCCCGTTCCTGCGCTCGAAGTCGTTTGTCGAGGCGTCGACCCCTCCACTCATCTACGTTGTTGGAAAGCATGCCCACGTTGGATCAACTCGAGTTGGTGCAATTGGTCGTGCGCCGCGGCATCCTGTCACTCGGGTCTGGCGACAGGGTGGTCCAAGCTCCCAGCGACGGCGACGTGCGAACAGTACTGGCATCCAATCATGCACCATGTGTTGGCGTCCGCGGCACAGCTCGCCAGTCATGGTTAACATTATCCTGCGCTGCCTCATTCATTTCATCCCGCCAATTCTCTTCTTCCACACCATGTTTGTGTAAACGGATGGCTAGGAGTGCGCCAGACTCCGTGTACGATTCATAACCACCGGCTCCACAACGCCAAGACCCTTGCTTCGCCACATCCAACACACATGTGCATTCAACTTCTAAGCAAGGGACATGTACTTGGCCTGTCGGCGCTTGGTGGCGACAGCAACTCCCACAGCGGTGCCCACCATGCCTACAACGACGACGGTGGCAACGCTTACGCCCCAGTGCGCGCCACGCGACGCCATCTCAGCCTCGTTGGCCGCCAAGTTTGTTTGTTCGAGCTTTGGCACGTCTATGGCCTTGGGCTTTTGGATCACTTCATCGTCATCGTCGGCTGGGGCAGCATTGCGCTCGTGGCTGGTGAGAGTCGTGTTGTCCAAGACTGTGCCGTCGGTGGTCGAGTTGGCCACAGCTCGGTGGGTGTGGCGCTTGTGATGTTTGTCCGCGTCCTGGTACGGCCGGATGCCAAAGAGTGACCCACCGTATTCAGGACCTTCGTGCTTCTTTCCATGATGTGATTTTGTCTCCACCCACACCAATTCTTCGTCGCTCACATCCACGTCGACGTAGTGGCAGTCACTCTCGATCATCAAGTTGTTGATACCACGTACAATCTTGAAGAAGCCGTTTTCGCCCCAGTACGTGCCCCACGAGTTGCGCGCGCGCCAGAACTTGACTCCATGTTCCTCTCCATACCCGACAATCTCGACGTCATGATCAACGTCGGTGAAGTTTGTCTTGTCCCAGAAGATGCCTGCTGTGTAGTTCCAGTCGAATTCCTTGCTGCACGCGATGCCGCACGTGATCGGGCCACGTTGAAGTTCTTCCAACATGGCGTCTTCACCGACGATCCGACCGTACGTCTTAGCGCGGTATCGCACGACATTCGTCACGGGAAAACACACGGGAACGTCAGGACTTTCTGGTGTCTTCATGCAACTGCAGTCAACAACACAGACAATGAGCCGATGACAGGCGAAGATTGAGATGACATACTTGATGCAATAACCTTCTGGAGGGCACGTGCCGTTGGAAGAGTTGAGATATTTGGTGTTGTCGGTCGCGTTGTAAGGCATGCACGTTTCATCGGGCAAACCGTACACCCGCATAAACTCGTACACGTCAGCAGGTTCGCCCCCCTTGCACCCGTCCGACAGTCCGTGGCCAGGTGCGCAGTTGAGAAAACTCTGTCGACCCAACATGACGTCAGGGCCGTGAAAACCATACTGCTTGTGATTGAAGATCTTGATGCGGTCGTTGGCACTCGACAGACTGCCATGCGCAAAGCACGATCCGCAGTACTGGGGAATGTGTTGGTTCCATGACGACGTGCAGAACCCACGCTGGCACCAGTCCAACGCCTTGGGCAAGTGGGCAGGGTGTCGTCCGTGGTTATGGGGGACATGGACGTCGCGCGAGTGCGGACGGTTCTTGAACGTCCGATTGCATTTGGCGCATGACTTGGAGATCGACGGAGAGCTGTCGGCCGAGAACGCCAAATCGTCCGCACCAAACGAGGGAGTGACGAGCGCTAGGAGCACCGCTGCAACGACAGCAACGTGGGAGGCGCCGGGCATGGCAATTCAACCGTTCCAATTTCAAAATGCTTTGGAAGTGGCCGACACTTCAACCACTGTCAAACTTAATTTAATCCTTCTGTTTATCCGTAATATATCATGTATAACGGTATTATCCGGGATTACGAATTTTGGGTCTTGCTCGCACCATTGACTTGCACACCTCCTTGTAAAGCAGAGTCCATGGGGCGGCAACTGCGACACGGTTGAACGAAGGCACTCCCCTGAGGAAGGGTAGGGTGGCGCAGAAACGGGTACCCAATCGGTGCACGAGGCTCTCGTAGTACGACAAGCTTAGGCAGTGTAACCAAATCGAGCGGGTGTGGTAGCAAGCGTGCTTGTAGGAGGTGCCCAGGCGTACTGTGGCTGGAAGACGAACGCTATTACATCGTCGATTCTGTTCACGTCGACAGCGCGATCAATGGATCAACCATGTCGCGTCAAACGCGTGGTGAGCAGAATATGCAGCAGATGGACTCAACAGTGCATGAGTGCATGGAAAGGTTTCCCAAGGTGTGTGCCGGACGTACGTCGCCACGCTTGCAGGCGAATGTTTGCAAACTTTTGAATACTCGCACATAACGCTTGAAGAGATCATAGCAGCCAGTCCCTCCTTCAACTCCCTTCTCCGACACAACGACTTTCGCGCCTCCATCTACACATCGTTGTCGTGCATTGATTGCTCGAGCCCAAAGCTTGTCCAAGGGCTTCTATCGAATCTTCGTCCATGATATAGTGTTACTAACACTAAACTCGGTACGAATTCCGGATACGATGGGTAAGGCCAACAAAATTAACCGGCGTCATGTATTGCGGTGGCGACGACCTGAACGCGGTCGTGTGCGATGTCGGGTGCCTGCGCGCGCGCATGGGATATGCTGGGGAAGACGACGCGCGGTACATCAGCACCTCGTCAAATGACACAAACGGTATCATGACGCTCGAAGGCGCAGTGGCCTCCTTTGACTCGCTGGAAACGTCGTTGGACGAAGGGTTTGTACGCCTCGGGGTCGAATCCACGCGGCAGCATCCGATCCTGTGGAGCGAGAACAGCTTCCAAACCCTGCTGGATCAACAAAATACGTCAAGCAAGAGCGACAGGGAAGCGATCGCCGAGCTCTTCTTTGAAAAGTACGACGCGCCGGCCTACTTTGTGTCCAAGTCGGCTGTGTTGACGTGTTTTGCCAATGGCCGGAGCACAGGCATGGTTGTCGAGATGGGGCACGGCAACACCGCGGTCGTACCAGTAAACGAGGGATACGTCGTGGGTCAGCATGCTGTGCGTCACTCCGATGTTGGCGGTCATGGACTGGACGAATTTCTTCATGGCCGCGTCCTGGAGAAACTCGAATGCTCCCGCAAGGCCCCGCTTTCTCCCACCAACCCCATGAATTCGTCGCTCTCGCCAAAGCAGTCGTCGGCGTCTGTATCGTGGGCCACGATCCGCGAACTCAAAGAGTCGATTTGCCGCACGTCTGAATCCCACTTCGATGAAAAGGCAAACGCCAATATTCCCCACATGCCTTTTGAACTCCCCGACGGCACGCAGATCTCGCTCGGCGTCGAGCGTTTCTCAGCTGCAGAGCACTTGTTCCACCACAACGACCCCGCCAGCGCGCCGTCCAGCGGGCGAGGCATCTTCCTCCCTGAGATCGTGCTGGACGCCGCGTCGAAAGGCGATGCCGACTCGAAGAAAGAGTATTTACAGAACATCCTCGTGGGAGGCGGATCGTCTTGCTTCGAATCGTTTCCGACGCGACTGGAGCGCGAAATCGCCGCGATGCTGCCAAGTGCCAAAATCAAGGTCTTGGCGCCACCACCAAACGAGCGCAAGCTCAGCGCGTTCCTCGGCGGGTCCATCGTCGCCTCGCTTGGCTCGTTCCACGAGATGTGGATTTCGAAGACCGAATATGCAGAACACGGCGCCAATCTCGTCCAAAAAAAGTGTCCGTAGTAGCGAACCGATACATCCTACACACTTTGAAACATCCGAGGCGTCAGTGGCTGGCACAGGAGGTCGCCGTAAGAGTCACCAGTGGACACCCAGGCGACTTCTCGTCGACTCGACGTTGCCGGGAGTGCTGGTAACTACCGTGTGTATCACGAGCACATAATCCACACATCATGAAGTTGAGTTTGATGAATTTCGCATTGTCGGACGACTCGTCTGCGGACGAATCGGTCGTTTCTGCTCAAGCTCGCATGGCCGACACATTGGAAAGGTCATGGCTGGCCAGGATCGTGCAAGTGCAGTCGCTGGCGGACACCACACGCTGTCGAGATCAATCCACGCGATCCACGACCTCGCCCCACCGAACCACGTTGAAGCATCACAGACCGTGCATTGATCTGTGCGGCAACACTCTCAAGAGGAGCCAGTCTCCATGTGCTCTGGTCGAGTGCGCCCCGAGTCCAGCTCAACCTTGCTGAGGTCGGTTACTGGATGTTGGATGGATTCGTAGGGGACGATTGAGTACAGGACTACCTGGACGTCCTGGTAAATTTTGAGGGGAACGAAGTGAATTGACTAGGAGGGTAATGAGAAGTAACCAGTTTAGATTTGCATTGTTTCCCGAAAGGAAGACGCCTTGCGGACAAACAAGGCGCGGACTCACAACAAAGATATCTTTAGTGCACTACGAGTCTGAAATGGCTGAGAGTGATCACGAAGTACAAGACTGGTCGCGTTCGCCTGGATGCAACGTGCAACGACGACAGGTCGCGATCGAGGGAGCGTGGTCGTACCTCCCGACGCCAGACGAGTAGCCGGCGTGGAGATTTCCAGCCGGTTATTGCACTGTTCCGATACCCGCGGCGACGCCAGCCACAGCCGATCGACGTGGTCATGCCGTGGAGCGGTTATGCTCGGGCAACTGGGACGCCACAAGATCCCAGCCAAGTCCTCCTCCCGGTTGGTGTGGACGAAGCGCTCCTGGTCCGTCGGCTGGACCAGAGCCGGCGGATGCCGGTAATGGCGACCAGGATGACGATAACATGGGTGAAGACGCCCCGTA